CAAGTAGAAGACTTTCAAAAACAAAATTGGTCTCAAATGTTAGTTAGTAGTGTAGACAATAAATCTAGATTCAAAATATTATTTTTTAATTTTTCAGTATTAGTAAAAAACATTTTTTGAAAAAATAAATTAGACAACAAATTGATGTTGTTTTTCAGATTCTTAGCTTTAAAAAAACCATCGTGTTAACCAATTTTTTTTACTTGTTTTTATTATAATACAGGATATTTGCTATAAATGCACATTTAAATCTTAACTCTGAGTTAGATAGTTTAGGAGCTATGATAATTTGAATGTAACTGTTCAAAGTGCCTCTACCCCGATATTAGATAACTAAATACCCATTCCAGTGAGTAAGATAAAATTCTTCAATAATTCAAGGAATCGTAAGCAAGCACAATAGCATCCTTTGTGTGAGCAGGTAAAAAACGCTGTGCACAACAGTGCGAGCGAGACAGAATAACGGCTGTCTCCATGTAAAAAAGGGTGCAGTGTGCGCTTGTGCCGTAGAGCAGTCGTCCCTCGCTCTGCGTTGTGATAACATTCCTGGTTTTAAGTAAATCTACTTACTGTACATAGTTATTGTTTGTTGTTAGACTTTGTTACGTTTTTGTTTTGTTGTTGAACTGTTACAGCGATATGCTGGCTTGAGTACTCGTTCATTGTAATAAACAAAAAGTAACAGGTTACTTTTTGCTGCTCACACAAAGGATGCTATTGTGCTTGTTTACGATTCCTTGAATTATTGAAGAATTTTATCTTACTCACTGGAATGGGTATTTAGTTATCTAATATCGGGGTAGAGGCACTTTGAACATTCAAATTATCATAGCTCCTAAACTATCTATCTCAGAGTTAAGATTTAAATGTGCATTTATAGCAAATATCCTGTATTATAATAAAAACAAGTAAAAAAAATTGGTTAACACGATGGTTTTTTTTAAAGCTAAGAATCTGAAAACAACATCAATTTGTTGTCTAATTTATTTTTTCAAAAATGTTTTTTTACTAATACTGAAAAATTAAAAAAATAATATTTTGAATCTAGATTTATTGTCTACATATTAACTAACATTTGAGACCAATTTTGTTTTTGAAAGTCTTCTACTTGGGTAGATATTGTTAAATTAATACAAGCATCTATGCTTCGCCAACAATTTTTTTAAAGTGCTGCCATTTTTTTATTGATGGCGAAAAAAATCATTGATCCCTGATTTGTCGATAAAATTAATTGTATTTTAACCCCCTTAAAGTATCGGACATCGGAAACCGGAACTGTATATATATATATATATATATATAGCGCGCCGTGGTAGCTCAGATGGTTAACGCTCGCTGCTCGCTGTAAATATAACAGAACGCGAGTAACCCGGGTTCGATCCCCGCCGGCAACAACGAAATTGTTAATTGCAATTTTAAGTGCTGATTTACCACGTGCTCGGCGGTGAAGGAAAACATCGTGAGGAAACCTGCATTCTGAGAAATAAGAATAAAACATTATTTCGAGGACATGTGAAGTTCGCCAACACGCATTAGGGCAGCGCGGCGGACACTTCCTTGCCCTAAAACCCTCTCAGAAATGAGGGGGAGGCCTGTGCCCAGCAGTGGGACGTATATAGGCTGTAACTTTATTTTACTTTACTTTTATGTTATATATATATATATATATATATATATATATATATATATATATATATATATATATATATATATATATATATATATATATATATATATATATATATATATAATGTATGTACATTAAGACATAGATTATTGTACATACATTATTGCTATGCCAAAGTAAATATATTTATTTCTTAAAATTTTTCTCCACGCGACTCTTTACAATTTAAGATATAAATTGAACGTACGGCTCTCTTTTATAAAACAAATATCGCTTCAATGTCAGTCGCATGACTAGCAGTAATACCAAGAAAAACTGTGGTATCCACATGACTCAACTACTTGCCATTTAAGAGCACTATTGTTGCATCTTTTACTTAATATTAAAAGATACATTTTGGAGCAGCATTATTAGTCTTTAAAATATGTACTTGATAACGTTATTATATTATGGTAAAATAACTATTTTTTTAAATGTGTGTAATAACTATACTTTTTTTAAATACAAATAATTTACGAAAGTGACTTTCTTATGCCCACTATACCATTGTTTACATGTGTAAATCAATATATTTTTTTACAAAATGAGCATTTTATATATGTATTATAACATACCATAGAATACTTTAATATACAATAGAATGGCACTTCCGTCTACGTAATTACGATCACACATACAAGCAATTACAAAAATTAATATAGGTATGTAATTGATGTAATAATTGTAATGATGATCTTGGTAAGACAACCCCACACCAAGCAAATACATCAAATTTGAAGTTTCAAGAAAAACGTTTTTGCAACTTTCAGAAAACTTCATAATGTGTTGAGGAGATTATAACAAAAATAATTAAAAACATTTGACCAATGATTCCCCCCAAATGGGATATTTCAAGTCATTAAATTGTTAATAAATATCAAATTAAAATTTCCAACATGACATAAACATAAAAAGTAAGGACCCTTATCATTAATTTGTTGATCAAATTAATTGTACATAGTTCAGACCCTCAGAGATTGCATAAGAGATGGTGCAATAAAATATTAAAAGGCAGACATATTAAAATCAATAATGATAAAGTAAAACTTAACTACTAACTTAAACAATGAATTTGGTTTTACACAATTTTAATAGATCTTGTATGTTTTCTTATAGGAAACTCCATTAAAAGAATCAAACAATTGATCAAACTGGAGAAGAATATCTGCCGTATCTTCACATTCTTGTGGCAGCAACTTACAAGTACAAATACGAAATACAAGTAAATATGCGATAAAAAGATATCTTATAAAAAATAATTTAAACATTGAATATTATTTAACAAATACTCAAAATCGTAAAGCTTCAATTTTTTCTGCTGCTGTTACTTGACTTTTTTGTCTTATATTTTGTTTTTTAAAATCATTATTTTTTGTAACATTTTTTTATGTTTTATCTGTACATCTTCTTTTAATCAATGTATCTGACAGCATAGACCTGATTGTATTGGAATCTCTTTTTTTAAAGAATTTTAATTCTAACTTCTGCCTTGTAATGATATTATACATATTATGCAATATACTATTAGAATGCTTTTGGAGCTTGCGCGGTGCTGCTGTGTGCACAGTGCAAAAAAATAGCATTCCTACTGCATGGCTTGCGGACCAGTGATAACTAGTTATATCTGCAAGAGTTTTGTGTCAGGAGTGCTTCGTCTCAAAGTTCTAGTTATTTCAGATGCAACAAAAGCAAGCTACAACCACGACTAACCCGTTCCTAGGTTTGGTTCCTTTTTACCTTTTTCGGCTATAAAAATATTCTCAGCATATTAAATCTTAATGTCGTACTTGTTATTATTATAGTAAATTCCAGCATTGAAAATTGTCTGCCTCGTTGGTCTAGTAGTTGTATTGGCGCGACTACTGATCATGAGGTCCTGGGTTCGAATCCCGGGTCGGGCGGAAAAAATAATTATTGGGTTTTTTCGTCAAGAAATTATTAATAGCTGCCCGGAGTTGGCAAAATCGGCGGTACATCACCCCCGTGCTTCGGAAGGCACGTAAAGCCGTTGGTCCTGCGCCTGATCTCTCTCCGATCGTGTCGGTTTATGTCCCATTGGAATATGAGAGTGAAATTGGAATTGGTTAATAGCTGGGACGGACATTATTTTTGTATACTGCACAATCGGTTTGACATTTGACATCGATCGACTCAGTTGATTGTTTCATAACATCCCGGCTCGCTCTCTTTTAAACTAACTTTAAGTAATTATAAAGTGCTTAAACTTATGTTGTGATACTTGTGATAGCTTAAATCATGGATTTACCTAATAAAAAAAGCAATACGTTCAAAAATATCTAGATACGTGGGAAGCAGAATCTGAACTTAAGGGATGGCTGAAACCAGTTTTAGGAGACTCATCTAAAGCAAGATGTCAAATATGTGTCACAGAGTTTTATGCTAAATTGAGCGATATTAGAAAACATGCGAAAACTAATAAGCATAAACAAAAATTGGATTTAAAAAAGACACAGGCCACCTTACCCTTTAAAATTGCCCCGAAAACTTTAGTTAGAATATCAAGCAAAGCGTTTCTTTTATTTATTGCAGAACATTGTTCAATTTTAGCTGTTGATCATTTAGGCCAACTGTGTAAAAAGGTGTTTGCCAGTGATGAGGGCGCTCAAAATATGCAATTACATCGTACAAAGTGTACTAACATAATAACTGAGGTATTGGCTCCATATTTTACACAATCATTGGTTGAAGATATAGGTGACCGAAAATATAGTGTACTTATTGATGAATTCACAGATGTTTCAGTTTCAAAATCATTGGGAATCGTTATACGGTATTATAGTGTAAAAAACCAAGCCATTATATCAGCATTTCTAAATAGTAGAATATGCAGATGCAAAAAATCTGACTGCTGTTCTTGTGAATTCCTTGAAAGATCTTAAAATCCCAATAGCGAATATGATAGGAATTGGTACAGATAATGCTTCTGTGATGGTGGGAGTAAATAATGGTATCGTCGAAATACTTAAGAAAGAACATGGCTTAAAACATTTGATATTGATTCGCTGCGTTTGTCATTCTAGTAAATAAAATAGTAGCAGTAAATACTATACCTAAAAACATAGAGTTTCTGTAAATAGTAGTAGTAAATACTATACCTAAAAACATAGAGTTTTTTGTACGAGAAACCTACAATTGGTTCTCTATTTCGCCTAAAAGACATGAAGAATATAAAAAGGTTTATAAGACTATAAATTATGGTAAACAGCCGCTAAAAATTTTGAAAGTCTGTGCAACCCGTTGTCTCTCAATTGAACCAGCTGTTTGTAGGATTCTGGAGCAGTGGGAGGAACTAAAGCTACATTTTTCATTTGCAATGGGTAATGATAATTGCTACACAGCTGATCTTTTGTACAGAATGTATTGTGATGACTCAAATCAACTTTACATGCTTTATCTTAAACAAACTTTAAAAGACGTACAAATAGCACTAAAAGCATTTGAAGGGGAAGACAATGATCCCACAAAACTATTAGATACTCTCGTCTTTCTCATGCAGTCACTCGGAAAAAACATAGTTTTTCCTACATTTGATTTGTTGACAACACCAATTCCAAACGAATGTATGTACGCTAATCCGCACCTTGGCTATACGTTTGAACAGAAAATGTTGAAGACAAGTTGAAAAAATAAAATTTATTTAAAAAAGAGATGCATCGAGTTTAGTCTGAAACTCATAAAGCAGATTCAGCAAAGACTACCAAGCAATGTCACTATCCTGAAAAAAATGTCAATGTTAAATGTTGAAGAAACATTAAAAGTGAATAAAACTAATGCATTAGCCGATGTAGCCAAAGCATTAGGTTTTAGTAACGAGTTTATAGACGGTATGCTGCAACAATGCCATAATATTAACTTTATAAAGTGGAACAATACTACTAACACTGTTCGATTTTGGGTTGAGGTTTTGCAGTATAAAAATGCCGTAGGAGAAAATCCTTTTTCTTTGATTTCACAATTGGCAATCACTATTTTAACACTAACACACTTAAACGCTGAAGTCGAGAGAGTCTTCAGTTCTATAAATATAATAAAAACAAAACAACGCAATAGATTGTCGTTAAAAACTATTAATGCGTTGATCCTGTTGAGAGATCAGTTAAAAAAACAAAATAAAAATTCTGCATCTTTTGAAATACCGTCGGAAGTGCTGCAACTTATTGGAACGAACAAAAGCTATTCCTTTGCAACAACAAAAAATGTTGAACTGCAACATCCGCTTTTGAGTGACGTTCAACCCTCTACTTCTGCTGCGGCTGTATTAGATGAGCATGAGACTGAAGAATTATTTGAATTATTAAGTGACGACGATGAATATAACTGATTTAATATTTTTTATTGTAATTTTGATTATTTTTATTTGTTTATTACAAATGCAAATGCACGTTTCCAAGTATTTTTAATTTATGTGATTGTTACAATGATTATATAATTTAATTAAAGTATTTTTTTATATGTAGGTACCTATGTTCTACACGATGTGTATTTGAATTAGAATCTAATTACTTATGTACCTACTTTCAATTTTTTTCACATACCTATCCCAACCTTTCACATGCCGGTGGCCTCTTCTGCCTCTCCCATACAAAATCCTGCGTTCGCTTCTGGTGGAATTAGTTTTAGCGACTTTTGGTGTTGAGTCTAGCGACTCAAACTTCTAGGAGTTGGCAACACTGCTGCGAATTAGTGCGCTTGCGACCGTCATCGTGAAATATTATCAGAATGCCATGTTGTTCAGTGGTTTCTTGTAAAAACCGAGGCCAAAACAAAAACTTTGTTAAGCATGGAATCACATACCATACCTAAGTACAAGTATTTCATTATATTTATCTTTAAAATAATACTAAACAACAAATCGTAAAATATTTCTTTCTTTTACTACGTTATTTTTGTTTCCAAATATCACAGCCACTGTAATATTTTTGCAGTAAATACATTGCTCCATAACCACTACCTAAGTATGACACCAAGTGACTCACAAGCAATGTAAATATCACAAAACAATACTTTATTTATGTGGATATATTGCGTAGTACGGCCGCTGTATCTTGTGACGAGCTAGTAATGTGGGTGCGCAGATCCACTATCGACAATAATGTGGATTGGCGAATTGCTATTATAGTTTATTCTCCAATTTGTCAACCGTTTCAACCCGATAGGATAACCGACGTGACATAATGTTTTTTACTTATTTTGATTATTTTACAGCAACTACTACGCTGAATACGTAACCAACAGTCGTAAAGTAAGTTGATTAAATTTTAGGTTATTATTATATTTTTACCTACATATTAATTACTTGTATTAACTATTCTCTGAATATATGATAATTTATTTATTTTATATTCAGGACCCAAAAAAATATTAGTAAAATGTTGGTATAAATGAAACAATCGTTAACTTTCCAATTTAGTCAATCACTAACGTATATGTAAAATAAATGGCTTTTTTACAGCACAACGATAGTGACCGATATTTTTGTGTGAGTAAGTAGCACGGTGAATGGTAAATGCACGCTGTGCTTTCAAATATATGGTTTATAATTGATTGTGTAGTACGTTCTGATTTATAAAATGCGAGTGTGTGCGCGACTGTGTATCTACTGCTTTTACTGATCTGCAAGAGTAGTAGTTGGCGAGTGGTAGGGGCCAACTGGAGACACCGGGTTCCGATACATTTTCAACTACTGAGCATATCTCCTTATTTCTTATATCCTATGGTTGTGGTCCTTCATGGGCGGCTGTTGTCACTATCCATCAGGTGAGCCGCATGCTCTTTTCCACGCCCCCTCTTCTTTAAAAAAAATAAATTAAATACCTCTTATACGATTATCGTGTGAACTTGTAGTAGAAATTCGTGAAGAAAGTACATCCGGTATAAGTGGTGTGGGTTCAATTCCTAATGTTTCAGCATGTAAACCTGTAACAGCACACTATATAAACGCATGAGAAATCGGAATAATATTAAATTGATGTCTATTTAAGCTTTACTATTATTGAGTAGTGACCGCCATTATTGCGTATGCGTAGCACATGGATTGTTTCCTTTGCATAGACTTAATATATAAGTGTGCCCTCTAGTTCGATAAAAGTAAGTCTAGTTTACGTGTCCATACTAAAGATGGCAGCACAAAAAGATATCAATTTGTTCTCAAAATAATGTTCTAAGTTGCATGCCCATGGTACTACTAATGTCAACTTTCAACGTAAACCGTACTAACATTGAACGGTTTTTATTCAACGCTGCGAAGTTCAATTTTAGAAACAATTTATATCTTTATTTAAACGAACACTTTTGATTGATGGCTCTACTTAGATGACCTTCCCTTCATACTTTTTCTTCAGGCTTAGGACTGACTGAATACAATTAGTTATAAACCATATTTTACTCAGGCGTATTTATAAGATCATCTGATTCTATTTATACAAATCAATTATTATTTACCCCTTATACCCCTTACCCCTTATACGTTCGGACATTTTCAATTTTGTACCTTAAGTAGTCCTATTTTATGCAAATATACACAGTTATATTAATACAAACAAATTTACACTGTTACTATAAGCTTTAACTAAAAAGTTTAAATATTTACGATAAGCCGCAAAAAACTTCTGACCTTCCGCGCAACTTGTCACAAACTGTCAATCAAAAATTTAAGAAAGCGAACTTCATATTCTTCATAAACGTAAACAAACTAGTGTTAACTTATTCTTCTCGGGCGGCACGAGGGGGGCGCGCCATTCCACCAAACCACCATTATCGTCATAAGTACTATTCTTAAAATAAATGTTTCTAAAAACAACTCTTTCATACGTTCCTTAGAGTTCAAATTGCATGAATTGACCGTCGCTCGCAGTCCATGACGTATTTTCAACGTAAGTTTTTTTTAATTTGGTCAGTCCGTTGCGTTTGCGTTTTCGTTTATTGAACGAGACGCACAAGTTGAATTCATAAGCATCGTTGACGAATTCAACTAACATAACATAAACATAAACACTCACGCCTGTCACCCAGAGGGGTAGGCTGAGACTACGGACTTCCATTTAGCACGATCCTGACATACCTCTTTCGCCTCCTTTACATCCATATATCTACGCATACATTCTCGTCGGTTAAGGGTACTTCAAACGTGGCCCATTTTCAAAATATCGCCAATTTGGTCGATAAACTTTTTTAGGGCGTTCCTTCCCGACTCTGCCGTCCACATCTGCCATATAAATTTGCTTTGTCACTCTTTCCTCATTCATTCTATCTACATGACCAAACCACCGAAGCATTCCTTTCTTAATCCTGGTCACAACATCATTTTGCATACCACATTTATCTCTTATCACGCAATTTCTCAGCCTGTCATTTAGATTCAACCCTAGCATATTCCTTAAAGACCGCATTTCTACAGCATTTGTTCTACTTTCGTGCTTCTTCTGCCACACCCAGCTTTCACTACCATACATTAAAGTAGGGACTAACACAACATTATGAATTACCATACGTGCCTTTTTTTGACACATTCTGGTTCTTCATAATAGAGTGTAGTGCCCCATTCACTCCATTCCCTGCATTTACTCGTCGTTCTATATCCCTCTTATATCTACCATCGCTGCTAAATACACATCCCAAATACACAAACTCATCCACTTGCTCAATTAACTCTCCTTCTATTCCTATTTCACATACCGTTTTGCTTTCTTCTCTTTCAAAAACCATCACTTTCGTATTACATGCGTTCACTTTCATTCCCTTTTCTTTTAATTCCCAGTTCGTTAATGTAACCATCATTTGCAACTCAGCCACCGATGACGCAAATATGACTTGATCATCGGCATACAAAAGGCATTTGACGGTTAACTCGCCCATTCTTAACCCACTTCTTCATACTTTCAAAGTTTGCAAACACCCGTCCATAAATAGGTTGAACAGCCAAGGGGAAGCTACACAGCCCTGTCTGACACCTTTTTGGATGCCAAACCAGTCCGAGAAGACCCCATTGATCCTGACACAAGCACTAGAGTCCCTATAAAGAGACCTTAATGCCTCTATCAAACCAGCGCTCAACCCATATGAGTTCAGTGTTTGCCATAACACATTCCTGTCCACTCTGTCATAAGCCTTTTCAAAGTCCATGAACGCACAAAAAAATTTCTGATTTTTAGCCAAAAACTTCTCCGCAATCATGCGCATGGAAAAGACTTGATCTGTACACCCCATTCCCTTTCTAAAACCCGCTTGCGCATCCCAAATTTTTCCATTAGTTTCTTTCATAACTCTTTCAATTAATTCAACTAGTTGATTCATAAACGGTAAACATTAATACGTTGACATGAGATCAACGGTTGATTCAACTAGTTCGTTGATTCAACACCCATCACTTATTTATGGATGTGAGATTAATGGAAAAGAATCGATTAAATAAAAATCGACTCCTCTTTATTCAAAATTAATCGATTTGTCACAAATCGAAAAAATTGATCAAAAATTAATAATCAATTTCTGCGAAAGAACTCGATTTTTTTGTATTGCTTAAAAGTAACATGCTTTTCATATTCCAATAATAAACCTAAGAGATTCTTATTAACAATTTACCAGACTAAAAATCAAATCAAATTATATGAATAAAAAATAACC